TCCGGCGTTGATGCATGTTATGTTGGGTCATGCTGCGAACCAGGCGATGGGCTTCGGCACTCGGCGGGGGAGGCGGCTCGTCATTACGGCCATGGGGATCAAGAGGCTCCTTCTCATCGCCCCTGCGGCGGGGAGGATAGCCGCCCTCCAGATCATCGGGCAACATGGCGGCACCCAAGTCACCTACATCATCCAGCGGTCGACCGAGGCGTTCACCCAAGAGCACGGTCTTCTGGCGAAGCAATTTGCTGGCGTTCCTCCAGCGGTCCTTGGCGGAGACGGGTTGTTGCGACTCATCTTTGTCGAGGGAGGTGTCTCGAGATTCATTGGCGGTGGGCGAGGAGCGTTTATCTGCTTCGTTGCCTTCTCTCTCCACCGAATCATGTTCCTGCGCGTAGTCGCGTTCGAAATAGTCGGCCAGATCGGTCGATTGAGCGGTCGTGGGGACGAAGGAATGCACTGAGCGCAGGGAGTATTCGGAATCCCCGCGCGGCATGGGCGGGCGTTCGGGCACCGTCTCATTGTTGTTACTGACGGAGCGAAATCGAACACGCGCGGGTCTGGTGGTTTCATTGGAGCCACCCTCTTCTGTTGTTGCAGCTGGGGGTTCGCCTTCGGGATGGGAGGGGGCGGATGGCTCGCCCGAATTGCGCGGAACGAGGGTTTCGTCGTTGCCGTCATTTGCGTCCCAGCTGTTCTGGCGGCCTAGGAGTTCATAGGAGGCATCGTCATGGCGTGGTGTCTCCGACATTGGAACAGTCCGAGCAGCCAGCTGCGCGGACAATCAGGAATATGTCAAGCCAAGAAAGGTGTGGAGTGAAGAAAGTAAGGGGGGGGAAGATGGTAAGTGAGGAATGCGCGAGAAATACTAATAGCTGGGGAGGACGGGAACAAAGAAAGAAAAAATGAAGGGCAATAAATTCGGAGAGGGTCGGCAATATAAAGCACTTCAGCGAATGAGAGAGGAAGACGGGAGAAAGCGATGAATAATAGTGCAAGTGTCAAATGATAGATATGGAGAATGGGAATTACTCTTCCCAGTAGGAGGGAACTGGAGAATTACTCGAAATGGCAGGAGGTAAAAGGCGCGACGGGAAGAAAAAAGAAAAAGAAAAAGAAAAAGAAGAAGGTGGATAATAGTAGTCAAGCGTGGGAGTGTGGGTGGAGAGAGCAACGTGTGGGAATTCCCCAACGGCGTGTGGAATACAGGCAAAGTCAAGTCAAGTCCACGGGGAGAGGGGTGCCGAACCAAAAATAAGTCTCAGTCTAGACCAACAGCACCAGCTGCGGAAATAGTAAGTACTTAGGGAAGAGAGGAATGGATGTGCAGTCGGAGATAAACCAGACTAAGTCCACGGCAGACATCCACAGTCGGGATTGAAACAAAGGAACAATACTACTGTGTGGGAGGAAAAGAAGGGGGACCCGTCGGGATGGTGGTTTTAAGCAGAAAACCGGAACAAGGACATGATGGAAGGTGTGGACGACTCGGGAAGCATGACTTCATGGCACATGGGGGTGATTGGCGATCCCAGACACAGACAAGACAAGACAAGACAAGCCCGGGCTGGATGGATGCCGGAGAAATTGAATGCAGGATCAGCACTGCACGATGAAACCCAACTGACAGCTCACCGGCCAATGTTGCAGAACTATTCCTTATCCCTTCTTCTTCTTCCAGACTTGATACAGGATTCAACCTGCTGGTCATCGTCATCTGTCTTTCTCTCCCTTGCAGAGAAGTCAGGTCAAGTCAATCACATTCTATCTATGTGACAGCCATAGACCACTGCAACTGAGGGATTGTTCAAATGAATAATGAATTGTGGTACCTGAAGAGGAGAAAAGAAAAGAAAAAAACCTGGCTGGCCACCCAATTGCCTTCGAGTCCCGCCGGGCCGACCAAAAGGAAAGTTTTCACCATTTGCAAACCATTTTTCTTTTTTACTTTATCCGGTCCGCCATTGGTTTGGGCCCCATTCACTACCAACCAGTCAGCGTCTGTGGGGTGGGGACATGGCGTGGTGGTGGTGGCAACTCGCCAATCATGATGGCCCAAGGGTGAAATGGTCGAGGTTTCCAGACTCTCGGTGGAGTCGGGTCAGGGGGAAAATGAATGGATGGATGGTCCCGATTGCAACATCATCGCTGCTCCAGACTGTTTTATCTCCCGGTCACTTGCTGCTTGCTGCTATACTTGGATCCCGTGCTTCGTCCCATCTCGCCATCTGGTGTAACACGTACACCAGATGGCGCATGGCTCGCTTCTCGGCCTTGATCTCCTAACTAGTGGTCATCTCGATCATACATAGATAGATAGATATAGATCGGACCCATTCGTACTACACTTACTATCTGCTGTGTATCCACCGGGGATCGCTTGCACGGCCACTTCCAATGCACCGCCCGTGAGATAGATCGGTGCATCGTCCACGACTGCATCGCTTATGGAAGGCATCCAAGCAGTGTCTCGGCCTCGGATCCGGCGACACTAATAGAGACGGTCACTGCAGAGAATCTCCCGGACCGGGCTTAACCATCACCAATGCTTCAGATGGCCCATGTTTGATAAAGTTTCATCAACCACGGCCGAGTAGAACTGTCTCGCCATGATTGTAGCCTGCAGTCTCCATTCCCCAGTCGTCTCAGACTCATGCTTCTGAAACTGCTCTGTCTTTATGGCTGGGGCACCCATGTCAAGGTGAGAGCTCTTCTTTCTGCAATCGTCACCGATGGGATTGACTGGCAACGCTGCCGGTAGATCCTACAAGTTCCATTGGCTATGTGGTATTCTGGTTGCTCCCACCCCCGTGGACTGATGGCTGAGCTGCGGCGCGATAATACAGCGACATTTCACTTCGTAGAAGGCGACATGGAAGGGTATACCAACATCCCGACCCTAAAGATTAGGGGAGTGCAGGACTCCTTGTTCAAGTACTCCATTGCGATGTACCAATCATGCGATTCCCCCTAGTCAGCGTGGGTAGTACATAACAAGAGCCGGCACGATATCCCGGAGGACAAGAGAACCCTTGCCTCCATAGCAGCAGCAGCAGCAGTAATCAGAAACTTATCACCTTCCTAACATCCGCGATTGCCTGATCATTGTAGAATAAGCTCCCCGCAATGACGCAGTCAATGCCTTCATTGAGTTCAAGCAAGCCACTCCAACATCCCATCCCCTGTACCGGCTCGGATGATTCCCACGTAGTACATACACAAGCATGCAATCCAAGCACGGCTATCAGTACTTCTTGCAACATCGCGTATGTATATCTGCGCAGCGCAATGTCTGATGCTGGTTTTCACTCGGCCCGCTATGCTATGACTATAACTGCTGTCCCCGCCACTGATGGATTCCTCCCGCAACCACCCGGAATCAGTTTCTGCCTCTGCCATTCCATTCAATTCATTCATCATCCCCACCGCTAAGATTAACCTGTCAATATTGCCTGTCATTGGCATGGGGTTTTGTGATCCCGGGGATGCAATGCATGAAAAGACTCTGGACGATGATGATGATGATGATGGTTGAGGAATAAGGTCGTGATGAATGAATAGTACTACATCCGCCATCAACTATATACTACTAGTTACTTACTCTTAAGTTAGTACTAGTTGAATATATCAGAGTCGAAATGCTATATGATCTGTATGCTCACCATGGGCAGTTGGATTCTGGAAGAACCCCCAAAAGTGCCGTGTCCATGGGAGATTCTATCGGGTATTAGGTCATGTTGGAACCTGGCGGGTAAGGTTGTGGGAGAAGTCGACTTTGATAAAATAAACAACAGGCCTATATAATCATTTTCTGGATTATTCTATCATTTGATAGTAGTTCGCTGTCTTTTTTAAATTATAATAACCATGAAGTTATCTTAAATAACTGATCCGGACAGTTTGGCTCAGCAAGGAGAGTATAAATAATAATAAATAATATAAATCGAGCGACATTGCTTAATTCTGCAGCTATCCGCAAGTGCGCACGTGTCTTCCCTCTTATTTATTATTTGTTTCTTCCGCATGCGGCGTTAAATGTGTGGCATTAAATGTGTGGTATTAAATGTGTGGCGTTAAATATGTAATATTAGATATGTGGTTTCCGTACAGTTTCTCATTAATACTATATCTAATATTTTGCTACGTTGTATCGTCAACTGGCGAATTTATTTTTGTGGGCTGACGCAGTATAGATACTGAGTCTGTATATTCATTAGATAATGACTCTATAAACACCGGTGAGAATTTGACTTCAGATATCCCTCGCAGTAGCTCAGAAGATTCGAATAGCATTGTTGTTTTGACATTATATTAACCTTGCTGACCGGGCATAGTCTCAAGGATTAGTCATGCATATGTAGTCTAAGAATGTAGCCAAGGAGTGCCGCGCGAAGCGCGGCAGCTGCTTGTTATTTATAATATAATAACCGGGCTATTGTAGTAAGAACTGTCGGGATAATGTATTACAGTGGTTATGCGAGTTATAAGATAATAATTACTGGTTGTTAGACTACTGGTTCCTCAGGGATCAGTCTATTACATAGATATATAATATCTTTGTAATTATCATTAAAATCTGGAGTATTCCGCGGTTTATTTCTTACGTAGTCAACAGGCTTTCTAGCCTGACAAGTAGATCCTATCACACTGTGGTTGTATGTACTGGATTATTTGATGCAAGGATCATAACAATAGAAAACTCTAATATAAGTACCAAGAATGGCACTTGAAAGATCTAATATTATATTTCATATTTAAGTCCCATCCATGCCGATTCTTATAATCATAATTTGAAGAGATATAGTTTAAGCCTTTCTTTCCGGAGTCATGAAAATTTTTATATATTCTTGAAATAGCCTCACTATATTTCCAATATAAATAAGCTCTGCTGTATTCAAGCCCACTTCTAGTTTCGATCGAGTTGATCAGGAGATGGGGAACTGTTGATATGATGTTCTGGAATGCGTTTCATGAAGAAGCGCAGCCTCTTCCTTATCTTCCTAACTCGAGGAACTGGCAGGTTGAGAACTGCACGATGCGTTCTCCACCCTGCCGCATAAAGACTCAACAACGCTTCCGATAATGGATTTTGAGATTTTGCCGAATACCACAGCTCCATCCGTGCAGACCTCAGCTGTCGGACATTCCCCGTTGAGCAATTGACCTTGCTTGGAAATATGCTGTAGGAAGGACCTATTCTCCCAGCAAGTGCACTTTTCATCAAGTCTCTCACAGTCTAGGAATGGCCGTCCTTTTATCTTCCATATGTATCCTCCGGGAAGAAGGCGATAGGGTCCAGTATCAGAGCCACCCTGGCGTTGAGATATGTTGTTAATGCAGTGGATGGATGCAGCCATGAGATCCTGGCCAGGAACCAGTTTGTTGCAATGCGTGTTTTCAGTCAAGGCTTTCGATCCAACAATTGCATCTCCAAGACGTGAGCTAAATAGGCAGGGAATGCTCTGCAATAGCGGTATCCAGGAGAGGCCGGTTCTCTCAATGTTGATGGTTTTTAGGTCCGCTGTTGGCGAGTTGTGAACGATATCCATAAATTCATAGCCGTAAATCTCTCTCAAACGAGGCCTCTGTACCGTTGTTTTCGCGAAGTTGATTGAGAAACCCATCACAAGGTCACGAAGGGTCAATTTGTCCGTTCCTTCCTGCTGGATGAGGACATCTCCACTTCCTCGCAGGGTCGTCCAAGACGCTTGTCCACCATCAGGTTGTGGTTCTGCAAATGGTAGCTCCCGTGACTTGAGAAAGCCAGAACTGTCTCGGCAATAGACTAGTACCATGTGGTGAAGTACACTTAGCAGCGAGACCAACCAGGCACGACGCTCTTCTGTGTCATATATTATGACGGCTTCTCCGACACTGCTATTGAGGAGTCTGAGATAGTTACCCGAAGGGCTGAGCCGGACAGTGCATGAGAGTCGCTCAAAACTTACTGCTCCTTGAAGTCCGAGTTGTAGAGGAGAAGTAGAGCTAACAACTGCTTGAAGATTGGCTCCCTTCCAGCTCCACCTCACAGGCTTCTGTTTCGCCTTAGACCACCTGACTGTCGGCGGCAGCTTCTCAGTGCCAAGAAGAACTGCTGTTCCAGAGACCCATCCAACTCTCGCGCGTTTTAATTTAAGCTGTTCGATATCTAGCGTTTTTAGCCAAGCCGATTTTAGGGCCTGAACTTCTGAAACCTTAAATTGCGAGGCGTGGGGACATATCTCAACATGCCACGTCATAGTTTGGCTGTCACATGCCCCCATTGGTATCAAGGCAGAGGAGTATCCCATGAGAATAAGACCAGATCCAACATTTACTGCATATTCTACAGCAGAAATCTGCAGCAGGTCTTCAAAATCTAGATGCAGCCAATAGATTGAAGATTTTGATGTGGATGGCTCAACGGCGATAATTGCTGAGTCAAATAGATTTTGCCAACAATCCGCTTGATTGCTGTGCGGCTTGAACTCCGTGAGTGCCTCCAGAGTAGCTTTGCCCTGGCACTCATACTTCACATTTGCGGTCGAAATCGATAATGTTGCTGCCTGCGGCTGCCTTATAGCAAGACAGAGCCAGAGTAGAGCACTCGAGACGTTAGGTAATGCTTTGTGACTGATGACAGTTATTTTCTTTTCCCCTAGCTCGACGTCCATATCACTACACCCTAATTATTGTTAAATTATATAGCGCACGGCGCACGGGTTATCAAATACGACACACCTGAATGCCCTGTACCGTTCTCAAGCGCAATAATAATATGTTGGAGCAATTTAGCCCCTACTTTCCCATATGCCTTTCGCATATACTCCTCGCATCTTGCTGCTTCCACAAATTCATGTTTTGCTGTCAGAACCAATGCTTCTGTCAAAGCTCTCCGTATGTCTGATCTCATTCGGAGCATTTCTGTGATTTCGGTCTCACAACAGAAAGAGCTCACATGATTATTAACAGGAAGTTCTTCCGGATTTTTAGAAGTGGATCCTTCAACATTGCCCGATAACAATTTTTTCCTGTCCTGGTCGTTGCTAACAGGGATCTCTTCAGGGTACTTAGGCGTGGATCCATCAGTACTGCCCGATAAAGATCTTCTTCTGTCCTCCCTTTCTCTCTGCAACTGGTAGATCTCCCTGTCAAGAGCCTGTATTAATTTCTGAGACCGGTCAATGTGGCCAACAAGTGTGCTGCCTTGCAACTTCCAACGGTTCAATCGATCCATCTCTGCTGATCGCCGCCGATATTTAGTATCAATCTTTTCGCACAGCCGGCATTGTGTAGGCTCGAATTCTGTCATGTTCACTAATCGCATGCCGCAAGTTTCTCCAGTGCGCCACTCATAGTTACACCTGTGCGCGAATGAGGACCACGACCAATCTCCGCATGTGAATTTTTTTTGATTATAAAAGCACATGCTGCGTATATTTGTCTCGGTGTGTATAAGTTATATTGAAGTTCATCGAGGGTGGTGGGAATAGCTGAAAAGAAAATGCTTCAGTAACATGTGCGGGACAGTCAACAATTATATCCCCTCGTCGAGATGAACCGCTTTTTCGGTCCACTCCGATATTGACACGTCACATTTGCAATGTTATGACAGGTGCATTTGGGGCCCCGCCCCTGCACAGCATTGGAACGGACTCGAGGCGCAAGTCAGCTACGGGACAGGAGGCTATGGTGGGGGTTAGACAGTTGGTATAATGTAGTTGGCCAACGGAACCGCCGGGACAACGAGCCGCCGGTGACCCTCATGTTACAGACCCCTGCTAGTTAACTTACAAGGCAGACTCGCCAGGCAGAAAGCGCTGATAAGGGCAGCGCTCGGGCAAATACCAAGTTGTTATCTAGAAACTTTGTATAATGTCAACGGAATCAAACAAGCAGAAGTCATCTAAGTCCCCCACCTCACCCAAGAAGATGATGCGACAGAAACGAGACCGGCGTATTAAGAATCTCATACAAAAGGCCTATGAATATAGCAAGCTCTGTGATGCTGACGTCTGCCTGGGTATTCACATTCGAGAGTGTGTCCAAGAAGGTAATCTATACATTGAGTATTTTTTTGGGCGACTCTGAAGCATTCATTCACTATCATTAGCTTATTACTTTAGAACTATGCCGTGGGATTTACGGGAAAATTGGATGTAATAATACTAAACACTGACTCGTTTTCAGACTTTTATAAAATAAATTTCCATGATCTAGCTAGCTAACAGCCATTCCATCTAATATTAAACAATAACCATCCATCCACATGCAGCATTACACATCGACACGTATTCATCTATCGAGCAAAATCAAAAATCAAGATCAAGATCAAAGTCAATATTTTAGTGAAAAGGATAGAACAGATCAACTCCACAATGCGTGCAGGACAGAGGTGGGGGTAGTCTGATTCTCAGAACGAAATGAAGTAGAAAGAAAAGGGGTGCAAATGTGTAAATGCTTGACACAGACGCTGCCCAGATTAACAGACAATCAAAAAGATCGGTAGAAAGAAAAGTAAAGATAAGTGGAGAGAAGAATAGAAGAAATGGTGTATCGGTCTATATGCAAGACAGAGGGGGTAATGTAAGTAAGCAAAGGGGTATGTATGCATATGTACGTCTATAATAGTCGGCCAGCCATCCTTGGACTGACCGAATGCCAATAGGGGAAAGCGAGGCGAGAAAAAAACTCTCTACTCAGCATGCTTCGACGCCTTGGTCCTCAACTTCATCAGCACATACACCAAGGCATATGAGCTAATCGCGAACAAAGCGACGATCGCAGCATCTCTCCACCCGTAGTAGTAATCCTTCAGGTTGATGGTATACAGGTAATCGCTTCCGCGCGTGTACTCGCAGACGTGGCAGTCAGCCGTGGCGTCCGGGTTGATGAGGTTCATGCGCGCGCCGGCGCCCATCATGTAATCCTGGAGGTACTGGGCGCACGTCGAGCCGTTGGGAGGATCGAAGATGGCAAATTCGGACTCCTTGCAGCGGACGGGTGTGTCGAAGGTGGTGAAGACCAGGAGACTGCCCATGAGGTAGTTGAAGGGGTCGAGGTAGTAAATCCAGTAGCGCCAGAATTCTTGAATCTGGGTGTAGGGGACTAGGACACCGCAGAAAGAGGCAAGGGTTCCGATGATGACCGGGTTGATGAGCGAGGCGAAGATGGCGTTGGGGGCGTACGCGGAGACGAATTGACCGATACCCGTGTAGACGAACTCGTACATCAGCATGACGAAGAAGACAGCGCCGGATTTGTTGCTATCCGAGGGGAAGCCGACGGTGTAGTACCAGCAGGCGAAGTAGAGGACGGCGCAGATGCAGAGGTAGGGGAGTTCGGAGACGATAAGGCCAGTCACGAAGGCAATCCAGGAGTACATTTTAGATTTCTTTTCACGAGCGTCATAGATGTCGCGGCGTTCCAGGAAAAGGGGCTGCAGTTGGTTGATAACACCAGGGGCGACGAAGATAAAGTTGAAGATGGTGAAGAGACGGAGTTGGAGAGCGCCGACGTGGTTGCCAATCATCCAGAAGGAAAAGCCGTTGAAGAGGGCCGAGCCGACGTGGAGGGCCAGCTTGTTGTTCACGTAGTCGGTGTTACGGTAGACTGCGACGCAGGAGCGCTTGGTCACAATGAGGGTTTGCTGCCAGAGGGGCATGGCGAATTCGTTGCCGTCGTCGACGGTACCAGGGGGCTTGGAGGCGGCGTCGTCAACAATGGAGTCGAGTTCCTTGAGGGAGTTGGTGTGCTCGGGAGAATCCTTCCAGACTTGATGCCAGTCGCGACCTTGGGAGAGCGCGCCGGAGACCACGTCGATCATATGCTCGGCCGGGTTGGTTTCTGCGGGACAGGGGGCGCCGTAGCGAGCAAAGTAGTCCTTGACAGTTTGGCCGTTGTCACCAATGTCACCGAAGTAGACCATCTTTCCACCCTTGGCGAGGAGGAGTAGGGTGTCGAATTCAGCAAAGAGTTGCGCAGAGGGCTGGTGGATGGTGACGAGCACAGCTTGGCCGACGTCGGCGAGCTTGCGCAGGAAACGGACAGTGTTGTAAGCAGACTGGCCATCAAGACCGGAGGTGGGTTCGTCCAGGAAGATGAGAATGCTGGGCTTCGAGACCAACTCGACACCGATAGTGACACGCTTGCGTTGTTCAACGCTCAGTCCGTTTCCGACGCGACCAATAAGGGTATCGGCGATATCATGCAGTTCAAGAAGTTCAATGATGGTATCAACATACTTGAGCTTCTCCTCAGCAGGCACATGGCGAGGCTGGCGGAGCAGGGCGGAGAATTCCAAGGCCTCACGGACAGTGGCAAAAGGCTCGTGGACATCAAGTTGCTCACAGTAACCGGCAGAGCGCTGGAAGGAAACAGGCAGAGGACGACCGTCAACGAGGACGGAGCCATGAATGGTACCTTCAGTCTTACGCTGAGCCAACACGTCCAGGAGAGTAGTTTTACCCGCACCAGAGGAACCCATCAGGGCACCCAGCATGCCAGGCTTCACCCATCCGTATACCTTGTCGAGGAGCACGCGATCGCCACTAGGGGTCTTGACCGTGTAGGTGAGATCCTTCCAGGTGAAAACAGAGGTGTTTCGAACCAGCTGCTTGTCAAGGTCACTTTCACTCTGGCAATTGTCACCATGGGGCTTCTTGGCTTTCTCGTCGACCTGGGATTCCTCGTCGGGGCGGGCAACCTGGCGATGGGCATCGACCCTTTCGCGCGGGATGAGAAGGGAGGAACCGCTCTCACCGGGAGACTTCCAGCGGGACGTCGCGATGATGGTGGCGGCAGCAAAGAGCGCCCACCAAGCCCAGAGGATACCGAAGTTGCGCCAGACATGGGTATGGCTGTAGGATAGGGAAGCCAGGTATTGATCACCAGTGACATAGGTGCTTCCGGGGATGGCACCACCAACACCGGCGCATGATTGGTGCCCGTCTCCACCGTAGCCCTCTCCACTGGGAATGAGGTTGGTTCCCACACAAGGAATGATCTTTCCGTGGAATTCGTTGGAGAGCAGCGCATCGAAACCGTAAGCCATGGGGTTGATCCAGTAAATCCAGCCGAACCAAGGGTGCATCTGGGGCTTCTTGATCATGTAACCGGTGTACATGATCAGAGCCGAGATGAGGAAACCAGAGACCTTGGAGGCGCCATCGAACGTGCTGAAAAGCGCGCCGACCGCGCGGAACAGCGCTGTCATGGCCTAAGCGAGACGTCAGTACAATTCCGGGCAACAAGCGGGTATACGCGATGACTTACCATAGTTGCAGTGAAGACAAGGATCCAGTAGGTAAAGAACGCGCTGGCGGACATGGTGAGGCCAACCATGAAGTAAACCACGATGGAGAACACGCTGATTTGGAACAAGAGAACCGGAATGTCGGCAGTAATCTGAGCGATACAAAAGGCGGCGGGGTGGTAGTACGCGAAGCCTTTGTGTTTGACCAGAATCGGGCGACCGCTGAATGAGTCGGTGACTTCGGACATGGCCAGAAGACTGTTATAGAGCAGGGAGAAGAACAGAGCACCGGACTTGACAAACAAACCACCCGAGTTATTAGGGGCATTGTAGAACAGTGAACCAGCAATCAACGCCTGAACCAAGGTAGAGATCTGCTTGATGAAAAATGTGGCTTTGTCACCCCAGATGATTTGATACTGGCGGATAATGCAGGTCTTGACCTGGTCGATGAAGTCAACCGTCAAGGGACTTGTCTTGGAAAGTTTCTTGTTCTTCTCTTGGGCGACGGATTCCTTGAATTCGGCAGTGCGCTGGCGGGCCAGGTCAGTGTCGGGGTAGTCGTATTCGGAGATCATCTGCGTATAAATAGGCGACTTTTGGTATTCAGCGAGAATCATGTCCGCGTTTCTAGGGAAGCGATTCTCGTAGCCTGGTCTGATAATGCGTTCGGTGGGGACCGTGACACCGGTAAGGTAGTCGGCGACGTTGGAACCCTCGCGGCAAGCAAAGCCCAGATCCTCCATGAAGGGACGCGCCTGGGTCATGGGGCCATAGTAGATCTCCTTGCCTTCATCCAACACGAGCACCTTGTCGAACAGGTCGTAGATACCGTTTCCGGCCTGGTAAAGGGTTACAATGGAAGACAGACCCAACACATCCGTCATGGCACGAACAGCCTTGGTCCATTCGAGGGCCGTGCTGGCATCCAAACCACGCGTGCTGTTATCCCAGCAGAAAACGGAACCACGAGTCGCAAGACACTCGATAATGGAGACACGCTTACGCTCACCACCCGAGACACCACGCACGTATTCATTGCCCACTTTGGTATCGTTCGTATGCGAGATGCCCATGGATTCGAGAAGGAATTTCTTGGCTTCCTGGCGATAGGCTTCGGGGGACTCGACGCCGTTGGGCAGGTTGAAGGGAATCTTGAGACGAGTCGCAAAATCCATAGTCTGGCCCACGGTCAAGGTGGGGAAGAAGATTTCCTCCTCGGTGTTCATGACAATCTGGCCGCGGTACTGGGCTGCCTCATCCGATGTCAAGGATCCATAGTGAACGTCACCTTCAATCGACTTGTAACCGAGGCGTCGATTGGACAGCATCTTCAAAAGGGTGGTGCAACCGGAGCCAGGCCGACCCAAAACCAAAAGCATCTCTCCGGGTTTGACACAGCCATGGCTGTTGGAGAGGATGGAACGCAACGGCGGCTTGTTCTTGGACTCCTTGATGTGCTGAGGGATGTTGAACTGGGACAGGAAATTCTCGTTGACGGCGGCCTCGGCGCTGACGACTTCGACGGAAAGGTCCTTCCAGGTGACACCAAGTTCCTTGCGTTTGAAGCCGGATTGCATGTCCCGCTCGTTCTGCTGCTTGACCTGGGACATCAAGGCCCAGCCATCGGCACGACTGGCACCGGGGTTGCGAGGGGTGACGGTGGGATCTTCATCGAGGACGGTAGCGGTGCTGTCGGTATCTTCCTTGCCTTCGGGAACCCCGAGGGTGTAGGAGACTTTCTCCTGATCCTCCGCCATGGTGGGGTATAATGAAGGATGACTTGACGATGCTGTGAAAGTCAAGGGTCACCCTGTCGATCGGGAGTAAGGATGGTCATTTCGACCGGGGGCATTTTGGGGGAGCGAGAAGCTCATATACTCCTACCAGGCAGCTGGGGGAGTCGGTGGGGGCCTCCAAAAAACTTCAGGGAAGGGAATCGGGATCCAGGCCATTTCCGAGATCCACCGGGCACTTCGGGTGTGTGAAAAGCTCCGCTGAGTCAGGAGGATTCCGATACATCAGGCCGTCCAGGTACAGAGGTACGTAAGGAAAGGCGATTAGTTTGGACTAGTGGAATGTAAGAGATAGTTCGCAGCCTGCCATGATGGGGACGGGGGATCGGTTCCGTGGCTTCTGCAAGCAGAATCTGTTTACTTTTTTTTTTTTTTCTCCCAATCTATCGTGGCGCGGGCCACTTCCGCTGATTTTTCCTCTTTCGTGCAATCTTAGTGGGCCTTGCGGATGAATCCAGGGCCGTGAGTGGCTCCCTGTCAATCTCTATGGCCAATCAGGCTTGACTGTTGTCAGGTCGGCGCTATCAAACGGCCGAAACTCCGCTCGACGGAATTCTGTCTCTCTTTTTCCTCTGAGTCAGCGGATTAAACATGGCGAGAAGAGTGCCTATTGGTGCATTACTTACAGTCATGCTTGCCTTGTAACCTCTCTGCTGACTCAGCGGAACTTTGCGGCTCTCCTAACCACGATCCCCTGCCGTTTCGGCCTTTGGAGCTTTCTCGTCTCACAAATGCTAGTGGCGCCTGCGATCCATTGTCGTATTCCAGAACATTTGGGCATGGAACGTGTCTCATCGTCTGGCAAGCTTGGAGCTTGGACTTTCAGGGTCGACAATGTGCTGTCACGCTGTGGGACTAGACTGATGAAACTGTACAGTACGTTAAACCAATTTCTACTTAGTTACCAAGCACTGGTCTTTGAATCGGCTCTTGAACAAAATCTACATCTCTACGAAGTACTGTCTACTAACACAGACCCTGGGGATAGTTTCCGGAACATCGATCCCAGTCTGCCTGAAATGCAGACTGCATGAAAGTAAGTGAGCTGTAACATCACCTCGCTCTAAAATCTCACCGGCCGTATTCACATGCAGCCGCCCAGCAGCCATACATGCTGTGTACATGCCCTATCTCGCAATCACCATCCAGATACCTTGGCTCGGCAATCAGTTGATCACAATATCAGTAATTCTATCAGATAAACATACCGAATCCTTGCAATGACACAATCGTCCATCCTCAAAATAGTATACCAAGCGGTCAATCTTGATCCACCAACCTGACACGAGGAACGCCACCAAAGTCAACCACTAACTCATTGTTCGAGACTTGTGCATTTATAATATTGACCCCAAGCCTCGCTCATACTAGCCGCCGAAATGCCGATCTTCCTCGGGATTTTCCTTCAGTTTCTTATCTCCGGCCACAGTTTCTCTACCTCAGGGGTGGATCTATACCCGTTTTGGTGGTGGTTGCAGCCTGCAGCCTGCAGCGGAGAGGGTTTGATGAGTCGATGACCCTGTCCTGTCCTGACCCTGCTGTCCCTGCTGTCCCGGCTGTCCCTCTCCTGTCCAGCCTACCGATCGGGCCGCTTCCGAGCCCGATCAGCCTTATGTGACTGTTTACTACGGTCGCAAACTGAACCTCAGACAGCTAGTCACACGACAATTAGGAGTCATTCGTGCGCAGCACAAACTAAACTTGAGAAACGTATGATGAACATGGGTAAGAGGTGATATTCTTTATCGTGAAATAATGTTACACGTGGTTGGTTGCCTTAGCTGCCTCAGCTTACTGGGATGAACAGTACGGAGTTTCTATAGTATCTTATTCCGGATGCACCCCGGTGCATACTTCGTAAGCGGGTAAGCTTGAAGTTGGCATGAACCTGTTGTTCTTGCTATATATGATTTATATTATGATACCTATTATCGTCCCATGTTGAAGCTGTGCTGGGTACTCTGTACCTGCCATTCAATGAGTGGACCCCGACCGTGCTCAACATTTCAAGTCAATAGGTGTTCCTGGCGGTAGTAGTAAGTAATAAGTAGCCCTTTGAAGGACACCAAGAGGCTTCATCGACAGGCTTCAAATTGATGATGTAACAATGTCTAACTAGTCCTACAGCTAGTATTACTGATTCACTCCTAGATTGTTTTTGTGTGTAGCTTTTAAATAAGAGGATAATAATGACATGTCTCATTCACACCATGACCTTGGTCCATTGACCACATACCACATACTACCAGTAGTAAATACTTATATACATGCAAATCCAGTTCAGTCTAGTTCAATTCCTCCATATCACAACTCCCTACTGTCATCATCATAAGATCCTGCTTGACAATCCGGCGGGGGTTTTCGTATGGGGTGGTCCGATAGCGGTTGACTTCACTAGGAATCAAAGTATCGTGACCGTTGGGTGTTTGCTAAAGTAGGGAACGGGAACCATCAAGATTCCATCGAAAGCGAAAATAAAAACAAGGACGAAAAGTCAATGAAACAGAGTTGTTGAAGCCATCTAGTAATAGCTCGTGGGACCCTGCTTTCTACCGAGAATTTGGCTGCAACAGAACCAGTCAGTGAAATGCTCATTTGTGTTCCTACCAGCAGTATAACTCACAGATATTGGTCCAACTCATCTAGATGACGACGGTGTTCGAGCATCTTCTGCCGCACCATCTGGTATGTCTCGGGTTGTTCAGGTTGCGTCTGCGTTGGCTGCTGGGTCTTGACAAAGTATCGCTCGCTGGTGGCTTCCCGGCGGGTGATTGGCTCTTTGCTGCATGTGAAAGTGACGGTTAGCTTCGGGTGTTACGAAGTACTGCTGCTGGTGGTGCTGTTTGCAACCATTGCAGTAATGTTTGAAAAGAAGGAGAGTGGATCAGAGTTGCTCCGAAACAGTCCATGACGTCATTGCAACAGGGCCCGGCAGTCTCCGAAAGGGGAACAACAACCAATACAGGAGATAGCAGTTGGATAGCGGTCAGGTTCACACTTACTCGGCCAGATATCCACGGGGCTTGGGATTGATCACTTGTCCTTCGCGTCGAGCTGGGATGGCAATTGAGAATGATCGCACGTTGCTGGAACTGCGGACAATAGGACGCGACATTTGGCTGAGAGGCGACATGATGACGGTATAGTATAGATTGATGTGTATCTCTTCGAACTGATGCAAAGCACGGGTGTTGTTGGAATGAGTGACCGTTGCGGTAGAATTGAAATGTGAGTTATGAGACGTCTATTTGAGCAGTAATAGCGTTATACAATGGGATGAATGAGCTATGAACGATTGGGCGACTGGCCGATTATATACAACGACTGGATTGTCCCGTGAATGTCATGTGACTCAGCTGCCCTCTCAATCCGGCGATGCTGAAACCAAAGTTCTCATTAATGCAGCAACCCAGCTTCCCATTTTCAGGCGAACCAAATTGTTTGCCCTGAGACCAATCTTCCATCTCCCATCCAACAACGGACCAGTGTCGTCCGCCACCGCCACGATCGACGAATCCCCGGATCGGCATCCTTCTCATCCCCCGGCCTTGACGGCCCCGCGCCAGACAAGTGATGGTCATTGCTTTGCATCATTGGACAGGAAGAGAAAGGCCCGGCGACGCAAGGGATGGATGGACACTTCCTTCCTTTCCCATTTCCCTCTCACAGTTTATTACCGCCACGGGCGGGATTGGTGGTGCTCTGTTTACCAACCATGTGGTATGATATCATCTGCGGGGATGGACATGCCAATCTTTGCGAAGACGGACCTATGGTTGAGCTGTGTCACTCCTGCTCTGCTGCAACTCTGCCAGGACACCTCTGCTCCGGCCAATGACAGTCCACATTGCCACGACAAATGATTGCCGGTCGCTGGCAGGCATTTCCCGCTGCACCAGAACAGCCAGCTTGGGCCAATGTTCTGGCTGCTGGCACGGAAGGTATACGAAGGTAGTATGCGAATCTGCAACATCCCAGCTATCTGTCCTACCCTGCCAAAAAGGCCTCGGTGGTAATCCTGCATACCACCAACGCAATGGTACTAAATACCTCACCCAGCTCTGAATTCCTAGTTACACGTCCAATAACACCCGAAATGCGCTTCTCAAGCTGCTTCTCCGTGCTCAAGCTTGATTGATGGGAATGTGACAATCGACGTCATTTTGCTTTCGCGTCCGTCCACCAGATGGCCACATGGTTTTGAAAGAGCGGGTTCCAAACTCCTGCCCGCCAGTCCATTGAGCAAGAAAAGTTCCAGAACCGCAATACCAAGGGAAGGTCATCCGAAGAGTGCTCGTGTTTTTGCTTTCTCTGCTACAGCGTATCAGGAGAATACCCAAGTTACCTAGATTGGTTGCTGGCAAACTCAACTGCTAATCCACCACTTGTATCGCTGGATACGTACATTGACAGCGTCACACTTTGCCTTCAACATTGCCTTGAAGGCGAGCTTTGAATTAAGATGACGGCGGGCGGCTACTACCGGGGGATCCTCGGGCGGGCCACTGCCGAGACTAGCCCGTACTGTAGCAGTATGCATGGTAGATGTATACTACATACAACTACTACTTAGTAAAATGTAATATCCAGTACTATCATGCTGAGAATTGAATTATTTTTGTTTTAAAGTTATCATCATCAACAATATACTGGTGCCAAGCTCAAACTGCCTTGCCTTAGTACTACTACAATTTTTACTAAGTAGTAACCTCGTAAATATATACCACTGCATGAACAGTCACTGCGATCATCAATTTTTGAGCATTGACCACACTCCACCAGACTAGTACACTTGAACGATTGAGATTGGTAGCAATAGTAGTAGCCAGTATTTGAAGAAGAAAACAACTAATCATCAATTATAGATCACATCCCCTAGTAGTATAGCAAGCATTGCTATACATCATCATCTACCATTAACCAACAGTAGTACTCTTCCAGTTTAACAGCAGTCAAACCAATTGATTGTCCCAGGTCTGTCATAAATTCAAAATTATAGTAACTTATAGACTTCATTATAGCTTGCCAATTTGCAATGAAGCAGCTTCAGATTTATGCTGTCTGACTGGTGACACTGTATAATTCGGTATGAATCGTTGTGCGTGTATGTTTGTACGATTAGTCATGAGCCGTTCATAGTGCATAAATGATTAATATAGTATTAGTCTTGCACAAGTATGAATTAAGTAGACAGTCCGTTCTGAAGATAGTAGTCTGATATTAATTATGTGTAGAAAACTGCGGTTGACTTTAGTGTCAGCAAATCGCTAGGAATAGTTATTCATATGATCATCCATCAACAGCTGGAATAAACATGCTGTACATCAATCAACGAGTCCACTATGTACTGTAGTACATCCTGTCAGGCTCCCTGCATAGCAAGGGATGAACGAGAATGACCATAAATACGTATCCCTATCTACCCTCACCTATATCCTCCCTCAAACAAAAACACAACTTCTCAACCAGCAACTTGACCATCCACAGAATCTCCTTATTTCTCTCCTTCGTGGACTGATTCGCAGACAACACCTCTCTGATTACCTGCTGACGATGACTCTCAGCCGCAAGCACTTCTTCTCCGTCGTCTCCATCAACACGGAGCAGAGATACAACACGTGCCCATTCACGATGTAGATCGATGTCTCTGCTGTCGTCCTTGAGAATGTCCACAAGAACCTTGATCTCCTCGGTGAGGTGGAGTCTGTGTTCTGCAGAACTGAAGTAGTTATCTGGGCGTTGCCTCTCAAGTGGGAGACTCAATGTGTCAGAAGCTGGGCAGTACTGTCTTTCTATGTCGATGTCCATACCACCACCCGACACACTCAAACCTGCTCCTCCAGTAAAAACAGGCATATCCAGCCTCCTCACATTCAAATATGCAGCTACACGCCCTACACAAAATCCCCATGACCACCCCCTCCCAACCCTTCTCACAAAATAAACCACCGTATGAAACCCCACCTGACCAACAACCCCAACCAACGTCGTCATAACCGGTACCGCCAGCAGCGCCCAAAACACAAAGAACGACTTTCCCAGATTACTCGTTGGATAGAAATCCCCGTATCCGATCGTCGTCAGCGACACGAACGTGAAATACAGTGACTCAAAATACGTCCATCCCTGGCCTCGCTCGGAGGACTTGAAAATGCGGGCACTAACAAGCCAAAGGAGGAGCCATGCGCACGAGGAGAAGATGAATACGATCCAGCGGTGACGGCTTTGCCGTTGGGATTTGATCTGCCTGAATTTGACGATATCGCGATGGGGTGATTTGTGGAGGTGGATACCTTCTGCCTCGAGCTCGAACTTCAGACGCAGCTCGCCCATCTTCCTGGAGAAGGAGGCGATTGAACTGACGAATAATCCTAGACAGGTAATGGACCCCGTCGCGTAGGGGATTAGTAGGCTTCGGCCGAGATGGGTCTTTGGGGCGATGTTACCGATTCCGATTGTGAGGATGGTGTATGTGGACCAGTAGAGGGAGTCTGGTAGGGACCATCCTTCGATGGGTATGTAGATGGCTGCGCCGCCGAGGAGGAATGCGGCCAGCGTGAAGGCGCGCAGCACGATGCTTGTGTTTTCGATCATGCGGCGGTCTTGCATGCTTAGGTGGATGGTGCGGACGCTGCATGCGTAGATTGTTAGGAGCGCTGCGATGAAGAGGTAAAGACTGGCGGCGAAGATGCCGTAGTAGAAGTTCTGCGTGTAGAGCCGTGCTTGAGGGGCGATGGTATAGGATGGTTGATGTACAGTCACGCCAATTAAACTGAAGAGGAGCATTGAGGATATGAAGTAGAGTAAAGCCGTCGCGAGGTATCCTCTCACTGCATCCCATTTGAGCATCATGATCAGAAGGAGGGTAAGATCAGCTGTGGCGGCGAGTGCGAGCGATATAGCCTTGATCGTGACGGCCCTACTGAATCATTCAGATGCGATGATCAACACTCAAAAGGCTGGACTATATCGGAAATGGAGACTCACCAAGCACTCTGCACTACTACCACACTTCCCACATCAGAAGAATCATTTTCCAGCCATCCAAAGCTAACAGCACAAATACCGAATATAGTTGCCATTGCGCTAATAGTTCCCTGGACATGTTTAGCAACCATCATCACTGATCCATTCCATAGAGATGGGGGAAATATACCGCCAGAACAGGGAAGCTGGTACACGCGAGCCACCAGCGAGACATTCCGACCGAGAGTAATTATATCAGAGCAGCAGTAAGCAGCAGTGAAGTACAGTCTGTTCTCCGAAATTTGAGATATGCAGTGATTTGATTTGTTCTGCATATGAAGTCGGAATACGAGGTTGACTTCACGGGGACCATCAGATTCCCGGTCAACTCATACATTGGCTTAACTTCACCGGAGGGAAATTGATCGAGGAGGTGAATGTTATTAGCACCGTTTCCCCGTAATTGGACTTGGGTAGTCATGTACTGATGACGGTAACTTCTATGCACTACTACGTACTGTCATTTGTGAGTTGGTTGTGAAGCTCTGGCGTGAACTGAGTGAGTGTGAATATGTATTGTGAACGAATTAAGAACAGAACTAATGAATTGCTTGCAGATCCTCAAGTTACATATCGGAACCCCTTCTGGAGCCGGCGGGCAGCCGCGATGTCGATGCCCTCTACATCTGCCGTCTTCTGTAACCGGCGAAGCTCTTTCTCTGTCAAGATTGCATCTTCATCCTCCAGTCGTGCCAGTCGCTTGTTTTGCGATCGTAGATGGAAGTACAGGAACGTCGCCATGATAGTGCCTAGAACCTGCATTCCGATGCACACACCCAAGGCCGTGTAGTAATACGGAGCCTCCTTTTCCAGATAAGTATATGGAGTCCAGATACTAGCTGAGTTTCCCAGAGAGTTGATGAAGGCATATGCAGCAGCTCGCTTGGCGGGAGGTCGGGGAATCGCATTCGCGATCCACGAGTATATCGTGCCGTTCTGGGCAAAGACGAATACCATAAGGAAGAATGAGAAATACCGAGGCCCGAAGGAGTGAGTGGTCATGAAGATAATAAACCCCACGATGGTGACGGGGATGGGGCCGACAAAGAACCAATATCGATGAGCGAAACGATCGGAGAGATAGGAGTGGAAGAGACTGTACACCACCATGAATATGTATGGCGGTGCTACCAAGAGCAGAGAGATGATATGGTTGTACCCCAAGGTCTCTGTCAAAGTTGGAAAAAAGTTTTGGAAGCCACTTGCGGCCGTGAGAGACATGTACGCAATGGCCAGGGCATAAGTCTTGACGTCTGTAAAGGCTAGCTTCAGACCTTTAATTTGGCTCATCTTGTCGCCGTCGTCAACATCCGCTTCGGCTGCCTCAATGGCCAAGCGGCGATTGGCGACATGCTTCATCTCCGGCGACAACAATTTCCAGGTATCGGGAAAGTCGGGTAGCACAGCGCAGATAGCCAGACCGATTGCGACAGTGATGGTACCCTCGATAATGTATAACCATTGCCAGGCTGACATGCCTCTCTTTCCGGCAAGACCATTAAGGATGCCCGCAGCGATCAGGTTTCCAAAGGCACCGCTGAGCAATGAGCCAGAGTAGAAGATACTCATGCGAAGGGCCAACTCTTTTTTGGTGTACCATTTGGAAAGGTAAAATAGAACACCTGCAAAGAATGGTGCCTCGACCAAGCCGAGAATGAATCGACATGCCACGATGCCACCGTAGCTTGAGACCTGGCTGGTTAAGGCCGAGACAAGGCCCCACGCTGTGGTAAAAAAGCCAAGGTAAAGCGAAGGACGGCCCATGTAGTTGAGGAGCAGGTTCGATGGGACCTGCATCAGGATATAGCCCACGAATAGAATGGACAGCCCTGTCTCGTATTTGGCTTCATCGAGGGATAGGTCCTGTTCTAATCCTTGAAGCTTCGCAGCGGCGTAGTTATTCCTATCAAAGACGGAAAGACGTTAGCGCATCGTAATTAATGGTCATCTAATGGCGATAAAATCTGAGACGTACCGGTCGATGTAATTCATCAGATAAACAAGAATTACCAACGGCATTATGAGGGTATCAATTCGCCGCCGCAATTGCCTCTCCAAAACCTTCTCCTCCGGCGTCAACTGTGCTAAATGAGCAACCTCCTCATGAGAGATCTCGGCTTTTTCGCCCATAGCGTCATGGTCGGTGATGACTCTGTCCGACATGATGAAACTTCTGGGAGGTGAGTCAAGATGCAGGGAGAGGCAGGATACAGGAACGATCCTGTTGCGACTCCATAAACAGAGGGAAAGCTTCAGCTATATATGCCCCAAGAGAAGGAAAGAAGCTTGTTGCTTCGTACGGTGTGGTCGACCTCCCAGGAAACACATGAGAAGAGTGATGCCACCTGCAAATCCGGGGGAGGGGCTGGCGTGGGGGGAATTTCCATCCACCTTGGGCCATCCAGGGTCCTGGTTGGACGCACGCAGATGCCGGAGAGCATCACAAATGCGGGGAAGACAGTTAAAATTCGAACCAGAAGCTGTTCGGCTGATTCTCACCCCCACGCCGCTAGCTACCACCCGTGCTATTCTTCTTCATCCATCGTGCGACAGGAGCTTTGGAGTCGGACATCGTCCGGGGAAGTGGAGCTGATCGACTCATTGGTGTGTCTCGGGCCCCCCCTGACGCTTCGTATCTTTGATCCTATAACACGGGTATGATATGGGTCAGGGAAAGTTTGTTTGAAATCCCCGCCGCTAGCAACGAATCGACGTATACTTGGCGGTTCCCCAAGTCGCTGGGATCCACTGTCCATGGCTCCATCCTCGGGGGAGAATAGTCGTCTGTGTCGCAACTTGCAGTCTCGCTGTACACAAGTCCGCTCGGGGAGATATGCATTTTTGGTCATGCTGGCAAAAAGGTTAAGCTCCCGTGTTTGTTCCCCTCAAAGGACGGCGAGGATTGGCTCGCAGGATTTCCGTGCAGCTCCACGTTCTGGGGTAATGGTTGGTGATGTCGTCACACTCTGCATGTCGGCATTTCAAAGTTCTTTCTGGTCGGCGATTTGCCGGTTTCATGCAGTACATCATGTGAGTCTCAGTCAGGTGATCCGTTATCACTTTCACGCTCTCAAGCTGAAGCAGGTACTGTTATCATGCCTGCTGCACTTTAGTTGCCATTTGTGAACGCTGGTAATATCCTCTTCTTATCGGTTTACCTCGCACTGTCCCGTGGTGATGCAATGGTCGAGTGGTATCACTGATAGCACTGACTCCAGGACATAGCTATAGAGGGTGTACCTCTATACCTATAGGTCAGAGATACCTCATTTCAGATCTCCCAACAATGAATAAAGACAGCAGTGAAGCACATGCAACAACTTATCAACTTTTATTTACTAGAAATATGGCCCTGCAATTATTCAAATTGTCTTTCAATTCTTGAACAAGAATGATCATTGTGTTTGACATTCGCCTACCGCCTTGTAACAGCCTCAGAAATTGAGGATAGATCAGTTCCTGTACTTACTACTCGACAAAATGATTGCAAATATGCCCAGTCTTACACCCTTCGCCTCGCGTTGATCAATACCACTATCAGTACTACTAACAACTGAATGTTGCCCCACGAAATTGTCCGCGGTCACAAAACTAGGAATTGCCACTGCCTGACCAGTGTCAAGCGATAACCAGTTATTGATGACGAGATAAACAAACACGTCCATGGCCGTAAGGGGGGTATCGAGATCCTATTTTTGCAAAGAAGATACCAGTGTGGCCACTCTACAATCCAGCTGAATGCCGCATGAACTACAACAGATTACTGCCTAAATGCGGTAACGTGGCGCTCCGCGGTGAATTGTGATGATAGGGATGTTTGTGTAACTCCTGCTCTGTTGTTACCTTGCCTCCCGAGTATGGACGCGTCTGGGGCCATGACTCGTAAACAACTTCAGGCTTAAGTGTATTATCACTTCCTCCAACTTCTGGAGACAGACACAGCCAGTAGAAAGACGCATACATGGCGTTGGTCAAATCTATATACTACGAGATAAGCCTTAGCCAAGAACACTCCAAGCTAAAAAATGTCGCCAAATTATCCGCAAGGGATTTTTCTTCTTGGGGGTTCCAACGAGCTAAATGTGGCGTCAAATCTCCTTGCACCAACTGTCTTCCTGCATGCAGGGAAATGCAGCCCAGCCCGGAAGAGATAGGGAAAACTGCATCCAACCCAGCACTGTGTACATACTATCCTTAATCACTGCTCAGGCTTACACGTACTTCAGATAGCAGTAAGGAACGAGCTGGACCCCCAGAGTGACGGCACCAAGGACAGGCACTTTGTCCCGTTCCTTAGAGACGCTCGAGATTGTATAGGAAAGAAGTAAGTTATATGCATCACCATGCCCATTTTGAATCATGGAATATTCCCTGCGGAGCACTGCGATCTAATTCTCCTTTACCTCGGTAGCATGGCATATGCCAAGATTTACATCCTCCTTGCTCTTATCGTTCGTCGGTTCGAGTTTAAGCTGCATGATACGACTCTAGCCTGAGTGTGGCCGTTTTGAGACCATCTCGTAACTCGAGTGGAGGATAAAAGTCAGGGAGTGCGTGTCATGGTAACCAAATTGCAGGAGTGAGGAAGATGGTAGCCTTGAGCTGTGAGATGTTCTATCGGCCTAAGAATCATCAACTACAAATGACTGTAAGGTTATCTAATAACCGATGTCAGTTCTATGACTATGCCAGAGATATATATTGTCATTTTGCTTTTTGAACTACATTTTGTCTTTATGTGTCGGTGATCTTTTGATCAAGCGATTAATGAAGCCGATAAATCTAGCCAGATTCACCCTTGAATGCATAAGCCTTTTTGATTCAGATACGAGGTCTACGAACTGCCCTCAATGATATATGCGTTCTAGCGCAGTTCGGAAACAAGTAGGCAACTAAAGGTCAAGGCGCGGACCATGCCTATTACCATGAGGGTCAACATCTGCATGGTGTTTTTGGCGCTGTGCACAATCTCTGTATAATTCATCCAGGGTGGATCCGCTAATATGCAGCCGGTCCGGAACAATGGTTCATCACGTCACCTGCGTGATAAGTGTCGATATCCCACGGCACTTGAATATGGCACCGGAACTGCCGTAGGTTACGCAGAGGAAGCCTGGGCTACCCAGGAAGTCGGGTGCGTGGTCTGCGTTTCCTCCTTGTTTCATGCATATGCATGCAGAGAACTACCACTGACAAGAGTACGAGTGTCTTAGATTGACGGAGGGGTTGAAGCAAATGAGACTGAACAATTCCGAAACTTGGTTGGAGTTGGGGAGCAGCCAGCCACAGTAGTATAGTAATTTGACGTTGGGGGTTTCTTCCTGCCTGCAGGTCTGCTCGAAGCTCTTGATGCTGTCACACCTTGCAAGTACGCCCCTGGGCATTTCTTGCTCGTCCGTGTCTTGCCGGTTCCATGCTGCATGACTCAAATAGTTTCATAGTATGGAGAAGCCGAGCAGAGTTCAGTTCTACCTACCAGCTGGATTGGCCTTGAGGAACTCATGTGATTATTGGTCAGGTGATCTGGACACGGCTTCAGTTGTCCCATCCTGGCATTGTTGTCCAACACTAGTACATATACTGTTCAGACTCAGTTTGGCTCTGGATTACACTAGTTGTTTGCCTTCATCATACACTGCTAGTAGTACTAGTACGTTTTCATTGGGCTTCTCGTTGCCTCCTTCTTGTCCCTTGTGTTTCAATCGTTGGGTTCCATATTCCAAAGATATATATCCTACAACTACTAATACTAATTCCTTTCCAACAACGTCCGTTTCTCATGACATAACGACACCATTTCACTTACAAAAATAACAATTGAACATCTAATTACTGGATCAATCACTAAGTCTTACTGTCAGTCACTGCTCTACTAACCAGTTATGCTTCCTGGATGACGCTAACCAGTTACCCGCCGATCGGCCTGATTGGTGCCTCAGGCTGGATAATATTTCCCGCTGGCGACCATCCACTGGATCTCTCCTGTCCTCAGCATCAATTAATTGGTTACCAATGAAAGCGATTGTGCTTGGTTCCATTCTTCTTCTTCCGCCCTGGATGTTCCGTGGCAATTCTGGAAGCTGTCCATTCGCGCTATGCCCACTTCACCGAGGTACCCAACGGTGGTCCCAGGAAGAGCGCTTGGAGGCGACCAACTAGTCCTCCACCAAACCCACTTCTGCGGCCGCCGTCGCCTCAAGCGCAACTCGTTATTGGTCTCCTCAAGCCACAGCCAGCAACGGTTGTCGCGGGGCTCGACGTAAGCGAGGGTGGGAATTTCGGAGGAATTCGGTCATGTCTGCTCAGATCTTGCTGGTCGTGATCTCGCCGTTCTGTTGGCCCCGTATCCGCTCAAGCTTGACGTTGACCTTCCCCTATCGTGACATCGTGGCCTGGTACGACTGGAGCTCATTGTCTAGGCTTGCCGCACATGGCCACCCACGATTCGCAACCAATCTTGGTCTCCGATCACCTCCGGAGTAAGCCCGCCCTTACGTCGGGTCAATTGACCCGTCAATTGCGATCTTGCAAGGCCTGCCGGTTCCGGAAAGTCAAGGTGCGTCCCGAACCGATACTAAGGTGTGGGCATGGGTCTCCGTTACGGGGGAATAGAACAAGATAGTCGTGCAGACGAATAGGATGATGGAGGAAACAAGAATATGGAGCGAACTGCGCTGCTAGTTGGGTGGGAGGAGGCCCGTGCAACCCACTTTGCTGGCTTACCTGCATATGTGTAATCCGACCTAATTGACGATCGTGAGAGACAGTGTGATCGAGTCAAGCCCTGTCATGCATGCTGTGCGCATGGTCACCCGTCCAAATGCCACTACGATACCAGTCCCGAAGATTTCCTGCAACCCATCAGTCAAGCCGATGAGATCCGTAACCTCCGGGAGGAAATCCGTGAGCTAACAGCCAGCCTTCATAACTGTGGTGCGTGCCCCAGGTTGGATCCCGGATAGTCTCGGTGGGGTTGGAGGTGCTTCTGCAGCGTAAAGAATTGACATTGGCGTTCTAGAGCAACGGATCAAGTCTTCACGCCGACGAGCTCAGCTACAAGGCCTCGTCAACGCCATCCGCTCAGCCCCGCCAAATGCCGTCAATCGACTCGTCGCCCAAATCCGAAAGCATCGCGGTGAAACAAATGAAGTGGCAATCCCGGTGGGACCGTTAAATGGAATGGAAGGTGGGTGTCCGTCGCATCCTGGTAGGGTACAGAATATTGTTTTGGCGGCTAAGTTGTCATGATCCCCAGCAGAACATGGCCCTGTCGTTCTTCGTCGGTCTCATTCATACGATAGCGACGACGATTCACTGGATTCGGAAGACGAGGTGTTCTCGCTCTCTGGCAGTCGGTCTTCATCAGAAGAGAGTGAGGACTCTAGCTATGGTTCGATAAGTCACATTGGATCGTGGAAACCGATGCTGGATGTGTTTATTGAACGCTTCGTGGATGCTTTCAGTCCGGTAGTCCAATCAAAGACAGGACAGGCTGGTGCACTACGACGGGCTGCCGAGATACGCATGTTTTCGCCGATTCTCGTAGATGCGTTCGAATCCGTCTCCATAGCATACTTTGGGCGGTCTATTCAGGACAAGAACCTTGAAGCAGCTGGTTTCCGCCTATACCCCCGTGTGCTGCGGAGTTTGCAGCAGGCGTTGCAAGATCCCCAGCGCAGCAAGGCTGAGTCGACACTAGTGACGGTAACCCTTTTAATGGCCTTTGAGGTATAAGTTTCGATCTTGCATTCTAGGAACTGTTCTGACTGCTTGTAGAGTGTGGAACGAACTACACAAGTGTCGCTAATTGCTCACGTTCACGGTGCATTGCGCCTGATTGAGCACCGAGGACCAGAGAATCACATACATGGGGTGGAGCATTTGCTGTATACCGAGCTGCGTCCTTATTGGGTACGTATTCTTTTCAGTCTTTCTAGAATTTATTCGCTCAGATAGAAACAGGTCGCTGCGGCTATTGTCAGTCGAACCCCTTCCGCCCTCGCAAGCCCGGACTGGATCAACTTGCCTTGGTCAGCCAACCCTGACCGAAGAGACATCCTGCATTACTTGCTAGACTTGGCGGTTGAGATCCCTGGCCTGCTTTGGCAATTTGACGACATCGAGGCTGCTCTCAAATCGGGCATGTACAGCCCACATGAGATTAGCGTGAAGCAAGCCTCACTATGGAGCGGTGTCGCTGACCTGACCGACCGCTTCCGCCAGTGGAAAGTCCAATGGGTTGATAACAACCCGGATGGGCCACCGCAGGAAGTCGAAGTCTCAGCGGACGACCCATTTCCTCGATTCCATTGCCGGGACTTTCGTACCGGGGGTATAATCACACCCCCGATATTTGTCTATCGGGACCTCCGCCTCGCACAAACCATGTGTCTTTACTACTCTACCCGATTGATCCTCTCGTCCGCCGACACGCGCCCAAGTGATCGCGTTGGACCTTTGGAACAATACTCCCTGGGTTGTGGCATCTGCCGGTCCTTGGAATGGTACATTGTCAATGCGCCAGGAAACATGATAAACCGACTTGCGTTCCCAGTCAGGGTGGCCTGGGAGGCGTTCCCGGATGGAGGTCCGGAACGGCAGTTCATGTACGAAGTGCTGAAACTGGTTGAGCGGCGGCATGCCCTAGGCCTTTGGGGTAGCAACATGTCCGAGATTTCTCCTCGGGCCGGACCCCCACGAAGTCAGTCTCCTGAGTTGGCCACAGGAGCATGATAGATGGGGAAATATGAAGTCTGTGGGTCGCTGGACGAATCCCACCGCACGTATCCGGTTTTGCCCGTCTCCGCATTGGCCGGTGGGGGTGCTTTTTCAGTAGCATCCGATAAACAGTGCAGCTCTGCTCAGGAGAGTATGCCTTTTCGGGGTTTCACCGTCTCTGTTGGGGATGCCTTCTTAACTGATCGAGAGATACCTACGGAAAAAGGCTTCCAAGCAGCATGCAAACCTCCCATCAGTAACTGCCCAGTCAGATACCTAAAGGTTATGACCATCCATATGGGCATGGGTACTTTAGACGAAGGAACACTGAGCTTGTGAGTGGCTCAACATCTGTCTTGGCATACCCACGGAGTCTGGTCAGCATGTTCCATATTAATGGTGATTTTATCAAGTCCATAATAACCAGACAGGATTGGGATCCTGTCATGTAAATAGGCTTCTCAACCAAAGGCTACTCGGATATAGCCTACTTAGCACCAAAGCCAAGTTTATTTAGAATTTCAGGCCTAGGCCAGCCGCGTCGATGCATTTCATCAGGTCGCGCCAATTATACTGGGTATAGACAGTCTCTGATGAAAACTTAGTAAGCGGCATCAATCTCTCCGAAATTCGACCGGCCCCATACAATAGGGGTTCAGGGGCGTGGATGATCATTGGTTTTATAAGTCGATTCCTTATAAGGCTACATACGGGTGGAATGGTGAACCGCATGACGGCTCGCAACCGGTGCAGGCCCGTTCTGTATGCCGCGAGATAGCGAAATGATCGTAGCTCAATGATCGCCAATCCATCACTACAGCACAAAGCGAACACCGGAAGGTTAGTTTTTGAACTCTGACGTGTTCAGCTGTGTGGGTTCGAAAAGGAATTGTGGTGAGCACAGTTCGAGGGCGGCATTATTTAACGTTTCAACTCAAAACAAGCTTGATTGCCGACTCCACTCCCTGGCGGATCCACCATTGCTCCTGAGACAATATTTGCGCCAGAACGGATTTGAACCCTTCCTGATTTCAAGGTGGAGATAGCCTTCATCTCTAGCAGCCTTCGAGACCCTTTATAACTGGGCTCCCGGTACCTTGGTGATCATGTCGGCTCATTGCTTCATCCTTCCTGCACTCGTTCATTTTCCTGCCTTGTCACTCTTTTCTCCGCGACCGGTTCGCTTCAACCCTTACGTTCTTTAACAAAGTCCTTCATATATACCAATCACCATGCGCTACTCCTCCGTCGCTGTCCCTTTGGCCCTCGCTGCCCGCGCCGCTGCCGTCGAGAGTGATGTCTGGGCCTTCGGAAACGGCTTCTACACCGGTCCTCCCACCAACGCGCACATCACCAGAGCCACCTGGTCCTTGGTGCCCCCGGATGTTCCCTCGAACTACACCGTGAACAACACTGACGATGAGGTCTGGGTCTCCCTGTGGATTGGTCTCTCCTCCACCGCTGGTGACTATGACGCCGATCTCTACCAGCCCCTGCTGAACTGGTCCCCCGACAACGAGTCCCAGTACGTTCACCAACTCCTTCAAGACCTAGGAAGAGTATGCTAACGAACCAAAGGGGCTGCCCCGCCCCGGATGACGAATGGTGTGTTGCTGCTAGCACGTACACTCCTGGTAAGTGATCCCAGTCTCCAACTGGGGACCCGAACTGGTATGCTGATGATGTGTTTAGATGGTCAGAATGGCCAGGCCTACGTGACTGTCCCCGCGGACACCCAGGTCGACTTTGAGGGTATGCTCGAGTACCAGATCCAACTATAGTATGAGCCACTGTACTCACAAGGAATACAAACAGTCTACGTCGAAAACGACAAGGTCTACCAGGTCGTCACCATGAACGGCAAGACCGTGTCCAAGGAGAGTGACGGTATGTTCCCACTAATACCACTTTCAAATCGATGAACATCACACTAACTAGAAAATAATATAGCCCTCGACAACCCCCTCCTCTACCTCTACTCCGGAGACGAGTGCTACACCGGCTCCGGTGACTGCGGTACCCTCCAGTCCTACAGTACGCTCCTTTTCTCCTCCACTTTTCCTAGCAAATAAATGATCTAACATGGAAATCTCTAGGCTGGAACAACCTCACCATCCACCTCAGCGCCGCCGACGAGAACTTCGGTGACACCCTGTCCCTGTACAGTGGTTCCTCCTCCAACGGCCTCACCACCTCCGACAAGGGCAAGACCTGGCACACCGATGCTATCAAGATCTCCAAGGACACTTTCGCCACTGTTTCCGACTACTAGGCTGAGATGGATTGGGACTGGTTGATGGTGTATATATGTATGTGATTTGGGACATTGTGGCTGCTAGACAGCTGCAATTTTGCTTCTTGTTCTTACCTCGTGGGAGGGATGTATAAAATCGTATAAAATGTATATGTATCGAAGGCTCAGATGGAATATTGATATCGTTGCAAGTGAGATAAGGCGATGATCAATATTAAAGATTTTGTAAGCTACTGGGAAAATATCTATGCAAACTAGCTTTCGAGGCTAGGGTGGTTAGTGGGGGTGTTGGAATATAGGCTTTCACGGCTGACCCCGGGAGCTTAAGTTCGGTGGATTTGGCTCGTTGTTTGCGGGTCGGGTACTTATATACTTTGGGGAATTTCCCGGAGGTGTCACTGTAACCAGTCGATATTCTGGGTGGGATTAGTTGCCGATAGTGACGTGGGTATAGTTATGCGTGTATGCAAATGGTCTACAATTGCAATGCGGGGACATGGTGGTAATACAGTGGAGATTAGGAAAATGTATGTAGGTAAATTGATATTGTCTATCATAATGCCGCTTGTTAGTAATCTTATAGGCAATGACACTAACAGCTTGGAGCTTTGGTCCCGGTATGTACATTTCTTTCTGGCCAATATGTGTCTGTCCATCAATACTCAAGTGTCTGCTTGATCGCGTCGTATATCCCTGGGTATCGTTAGCATAGTTCAGACGTGCATGGGATAGATATACGTACGCGCAACATCCGGAATCACAAACTTCTCGTACATCAGGCCCGTATGCGTACTCCACCCCGCGACTCTCTTAACCGGTGCCTCTAGACGCAAGAACGCCCCGTCCTGAATGGTAGCGGCCACCTCAGCGCCGACGCCGTAGTTGATCATACTCTCGTGGACGACTATCGCCCGTCCGGTCTTCCTCACACTATCCAATACCGTCGGTCGATCCCACGGGTAGATTGTACGCAGATCAATCAGCTCGATACTCGCCCCGAATGCCCTCTCGGCTGCTTCGATGGCCGCGGAGCAGAGGTATAGAGGCTGTCCGTACGAGACTATCGTCAGGTCGTTCCCTGGCTTAACTACTTCTGCTGTGTTTAGTGGGATGGTGTAGTACTCGCTTGGGACGTGTTCTACTGCGGCACGATAGAGGATTTTCGGTTCCATGAAAATGACGGGATTCTTAGACTCGAAAATTGAGGATAGGAGTAGGCCTTTGGCTTGGGATGGGGAGCGAGGCATGACGACTTGTACACCTGGGACGTGTGCGAATAGTGCTTCTGGCGATTGTGAGTGGTATCTGTTTCGTGATAAATCACGTTAGCCATAGTTCCCCCGTACACAAGAAGCAATAGTAGGCGGGAGACGGTATGCCACCTACAAAGCACCATGTCCGACCGCACCACACGGCATCCGCACCACCATCCCTCCAATATCTACCCCCGTTGCTCCCTCCCGGAACCGAAACTTCGCCGCCTCGTTCACGATCTGATCGAACGCCGGGAAAACGTAGTCTGCGAACTGGATCTCCGCAACGGGCTTCATTCCCTGAGCTGCTGCGCCGATGGCAAAGCCGACGATCCCTTGCTCTGTTAGGGGTGTGTTGAAGACTCGTTCCGAGCCGAATTCAGTCTGTAGGTCCATCGAGCAGCGGAAGACGCCGCCAAAAGCGACGTCTTCGCCGAAGAGCATCACCTTGTTGGAGGTGGAGAGGGCGGTACGTAATGCGGAGTTAATGGCTTGATAGAGATTGATAGATTTTGAGGTCGGATTGCTGGGTAGGTCTGGGTGGTTTGAAAGGCTGGAGGCCGTGTGGTGGAGGAGCGGTGTCGATCTGTAGTCGATGGGGAGGTTCAGGCGTGAAGAAGGGGATGGTGCGGAGGTGGAGTAGCCCCGGTAGGAGGGTCGGGGTATTGGTATTTTGGGGAGACGGAGTGAAGGCATCGTGGGGGATTGGCGAGATGTTGGAGGTTCAGATTGTAGAATGAAAACGTCTGGAGAACGAGGGAGGTACGGGGAAGACCTCCCTCCCCCTTGGTTTATCAATAAAGGCATCTTGCTTCATGCGGGGAATGCGCCCCGATCCCCGTGGATAACCGGGGTTGGCGGCCTGGATGCCTTGGTGCCTGGGTGCCTGCCGGGGAGGTTGAGTCAGCTTCTTCTGGTGGTTGCCTGATTGGGATAGCCAGGTGAATTTGTACTCTCGTCTGCATTAGGTCTCACTACCTTTGCTCCTCTGCATCTTTCTCCATTCTCATCTCAATTTAGCATTTTCCATCCAAGTCGTGATATCCTTATGGCCAATGGTTTACCATCTGAATGAATCGCTCTCAAAGCACCAGCAGTGCCCTGGCACGCTCTGGACGGCCATGACGATCCCATGCTGTGAGCGTCCTAGACACTGCGTTATCCACTTCACCGTCGTAGACACATAATGGACTAACTCCATCTCCTCTTCAGATGATTTTCTGTTCTACATCCATCGATCAAGACGTGAACGTTTGCAATAAGCCAGTAATGCTCCCAATGACATTTTGGAATGAGGGTATCATATATACAGATTGAGACAGATATATACAACGGAGCGGCCTGTCATATCCGATCCGCACATCAAACAGAGCCATCGCTGTCGCTAAAGGCAACCAATTGGTACTCGCTGGACCGTGAGCGACACCGACGGAAATAACGGCCCCAGCCACAGCACGTATAGAGACCAACAAACAAGCCAACTCCACTGATGACAAAGGCCATGACAATAAACCAGTAATGAGGGTTCATGACTTGCTCGAAGCTTCCACCCTGCTCTCGCTGGAGCAGTTCCGTGGCGCCTAGAACATTACCATCGGAATCTAATGCCGCTAAGCGGAACAAAGGAAGCTCGAGACCCTCGGGTATTTCGATCTCAGTCTCGAAGCCATCTTTCTGGAATTGGGACACAACACGGAACGTATTGTCATTCAAATCATCCGAGTCCCAGACTTCCAGTCGCCAAGCAACAACCTCTGTTGCACCGTTCCAGCTCACATACACGTGGTTTCCTAGTACTTCGGCGTCGGGGACCGTCTGCGGTCGGCCAACCCAGGTGCCCTTATAGGCACGATAAGATACCACTCTGCCAAACCCGAAGAAGGCAGAGGCACCGAAATGAGTGTTGCACAGCAATTGTCCGTCGGCACTGAACTCACTGAATGCAGCGCTATGGCCCCACTCGACTAGAACTCGGCCACTATCGTCCAGAACTTGGACGTTTCCTTGTGACAAGGATCGCATTTGCTGAGGATGAAAGTACTCAGCGCGCAATGACGCCTGGCGAGCGGCAAGATCAAGTTCGATGACGACACCGCGACTTTGGTTATCTGGATCATCGTTCGAATGTGATGCATTGTCGAAAAGGGTCAAGGTACTGTTGGCGTGCCACCGTGCATCATGCTGCCAGGCGAAGTTGGTGGCCTGACCATCTGAAAGATCGTGGAACTCATTCAGCTTTCCGCCCAAGGTCCATAATACTTCACCAGTGTCCTTGTCTATGCAGCTCACGGTATGGGTATGGCGTGCCGAGACGATATAATTCCCATTGTCATCCTTGTCCACGCTATTGATGTGGTAGAAGTCAAACGCATACCCGCGCACTCGTCCCGACTTGCCCAGGTGCTCGTATGTGGTATTTATGGGATAATGCTTCGATGCGCGCCATTCGAAGATCAGCTCGCCCGTAGCGATATCTATTTCCTGGAAGACGCCGTCATATATCCAGCCTAATTCGGGGCCACCAACAGGAGTCAAGTCGGCCGGTACTGGATCGTATATCGTAACGAGAGCCGTTCCTTCGGGAGTGATGTGGAATTCATGGAGATCGCCACCATAATTTCCTACCGGAGAAATCACATATCGTTGGGTATATGTCGAATCCAGCTATCCAGATCAGCACGCTACTCTATGCGACAGGGTCGCGTGACACCTACCATATACCAGGCCCCATAGCCTCGGCCTTCGGTTTCACCACCTTCCCAGTATGTCAGATAGTCTGTGTCCTGATATCGCTGGACCTTGAAGTCCTGAGTCACGTCCCAGTTGTATTTCATCCACACCAGCTCCCCCCTGGAGTCAAGGATCATAGGCCCCGGCTGGGCCACCGAGTCACCCCTAGGGGCTAGAAAGGTATATCGCGAGTCGCAGCCCGACTCCCATTCTGAGATTTGTACCGCGGGAGATTCATATTCGAAGGAGACGTAGCTTTTCGAGGGACCAAAACCGTACAGGCCCAGATCATACCAACTCAGATCCGCGCGAAGCCTCAGTCGATTCAGTTGAGGAACGGCGAAGGTGTAGAAGAGGTAGGAGAGACTGATTATGGCGCCAATCGTAACAACATGGAGGGCTGAAAGCCTTGAACGTAGGCGATTGGCGCGAGAGAGGGCGGAAGTCCACGAGGACATTGGATCATCGCGGTAGGACAGAGCGACGAGAGCTGTCCAAGGGAAGGGGGAAAAGAGACAAACTTTCGGATCTGGGGTAAGGCGGAACAAAAGGAACTATCGGGGACGATAGTCTTCTCGGGAGCGACGGCAAGGCGCAGAGTCGGCGCTCATCATATCATCGAACTTTGCCCCCAGGCAGGTGGAATCCCAGCGAGAATAAGAATGTCTCATACGGTCGGGTTGGTCGTTCAGGAGAGGGTGGCTCCAACAGCTTCAACACCCGAAACGGATACCAAAGCGCCCCATCCACGCGGCGTCGAAGCGATCCATCGAAGCCGATATCCATTCGCGGCGGAGTCCAACGACGACGCGAACGAGTCGCAGTTGGCCGTGATTGGCTATCACCTAGCATTCTCCAGCACCGCCAAGAAAGCCACCGTGGATCCGGACCTGAAGCTGGCTCCACTATCGAGGTTATCACTTATCCTGTCCGTGAAATCTTCCCCTTCGCGCCATTGGGGGCTTTGGGACGGTCGCTGGCAATTATTTTTTTCCCCACTGAGTGGCGGCACCAGCCCCAGCGCTGCGAGATACTTTCAATCTGTTTGTCCTTGGCACAACAGCGCAAGATGATTTTATCTCCGAAAATACAATTGGCCACGGTGTCTAAACTTCAATGGTACGGAGGTTGCCCGCGTGAGGCCAAGACAACGCTTCGGCTGTGACGATTGGCAAAAGCAAGGAAACTCAAAGTGTCTTTATCCGGGGGAATTATCTGATCTGTGGCGGACGATATCCTGCGAATGGCCTGCCCGAGTTGTGACGACTGGAAAGTGACGAGCGATAAGTGCCGCCGCTGACAGCCACTCGGACCCGCTCGCTTCGTCATCTACCGCACTATTCTTGTAAGTTTACCTTTTTCCAAGGGATTGGTTAGCGCCCAGTTGTCCAGGGTCAATGACCACCGCGCGATTACAGAATGCATACATTATTCCATGCGTAAGTCTTGATGCTTGGCTCTCTTTTAGGACGCGCACTACGACCTCAGGTGAAACAGGAGAGTGCTGGAAGATCACTGGCGGACTATTGATTGAGACAACTCCTTGCCCTGCGCGTGAAACCGATTCGGCCTACCCGCTAGTCTACACATGTTAATGATTGGCCCCTAGACTTACAGTGGGGCAGCACGCGTGCTGAGGCCTCGGCAAGACGGCTTGCCCCCGGTCAGATAGGGTCAGCACTTTATCGCCAATGAACGCAGAGCACTCAAAGTGACGCTGGTGAAGCCTGGAAGCCATTCATTATTAGCGGATCCTTCTGGAAGGACGTCCATTCCTAGTGGAAGCGGAGTGAGCTAACAGTCGGACAACTGAGCGTGATGATGTTTGTGGCTTCTCCAAAAGTCCGGAGAAATACTTTCTTGACTTGGAAGCTATAATGTGGTACAAACGTGATCTGATCCTTCGTTTATCATGGCCCCCAGTTAGCAACAGGCACACTGGCGAATGATATTGATCAAGTGCTCAACACTAAGACACCGCTCACAATCTAGCGGGAGCAGACATGGGGTTACAGGCGGGGACAAAGCCAAAGACGAGACCCAAGCGCCAACAGTCAATTCCGCTTCGGCGTTGATGCCATACAGGCACCTGACCAAGTATCAACAGTTTTTCAGAGCCAACAAATCAGCAGTAGGGGCTCGTTAGGCAGAAGTGATATTAAACCGGCATACCCGGAATCAAGCACAACTAGCCAGACTTCTTGCAATTCCAAGATGACGCCATCGCAGAAAGTCAAACAGCATTTCGCGTGCACTGCATCGTCTCATTGCCTCTGAGCTTATTTTGGCTTTGGCAACAATCGCACTGAGCTACAGGTATGATGTCTCAACTGCACCGTCAGACCAAAATGGATCTAGCATTAATTTGGTAGTCTGCCCCGAACCCGAGAATCCGAGGGTGGTTCGACCGGTGAAATGCGCACTGCCTGATCTGGTTATTGTTTGCGACCTGTCTCTGGGGATCCCAGTACACTATTCTAGGCTACTGAGGATGCTCTGACAGTAACTATTATACGGAGACCGCGGAATTGTCTGTCCGTTGTCGGCCGGGCTTGGCGCTTATGCTCTTAGAGCGGGCCGAAGCGTTGGGGACAGAATTGCGCGCCCTGAGCGATCCGGGATGCTCCGGCATCAACCCTGGCCATACTGGAGGTCACTGAAAGTCCACTCCAGGTATTGGTCGAATACTATCACGTTGTCTCCCGAGATACTTTCTTTTTGGAGACCGACGGGTCAGCCAGGTGCTATATCTTACGAACCAGCTTCAAATACATACCTGATTTATATGGTGTGCTAGTGGCGGACTTGACAGCATCCGGCTATCGAAGGATTCTGGACATACCATGCAATGATCCTTCGAACGGTTCTCTGTCGTGAGCTTCGCTTACCCTGTGCATGACCATAAGTATTGATTGGTCCGCCAAGAGCATTGTCAAGCTTTTGATCTCATCAAACCGGGTATTACGTGTGGCAAAGAACATATTGAGAATCAATAGCTTTCTCACTTCTGTGATAGTTCCGACTTCGTGAGACTCGACGACAAAGTGCTCACATTGTCGCGTAAACAGCAACTGCCAAGCCCAGAATTATCCCATGTTGTGCAGCTCTCCAAAATATGCAGCGTGCTCAGGTCCCGCTGGGTGCTAACCCCCAAATCGGATTTAGCGTCTAGGCACCGATTTACTTAGTGGAGACTTTACTAAACTAGGGAATCGTACCCGGATAGTGTCTTGGTAGTTGGGATTGCGTGCTATCTATGTTTTGTAATCATGTCTCATCTGGTCACTTTGCGCGCAGCACGCATGGAAATGATGCTTGCCAAGGTGCCAATGCAATTGGAAAAAGCATATTCTGCCAGTCAGTCGCGGGCAATACAGTAGGGGCCGAGGTTATCCGGGAAAAAACACTGTGGGGTGCATATGCAACTGCTGATTAGTATGGGACAAACCAAGAAGGGGTGAGTAGTATGCGTGCATTAGGTAGAGATTTGCGGTTTATCTGCTCATATCTACGATATATCTCGTACCCGTGTTTCTTTCCTTCTTTGGCTCGGGTGGATATAATCTCAATACATCCCTGGATACCATGTGTGGATTCGACCCCGCTAGTTGTAAACGCTATGAGTGCCCATCCCTCTTGGCAATAAAAGGTCTCCTTGGATCAATAATTGCTAGTCTGACTTGTTGCCCTAACTGAACTAATACTTCCACTTCTAGACACAGAAGAAAGTATATCTGTTCAGTTCATCAAAGTACGAGCGTTCCGACCCATAAATGTCGTGTTTGTAGCACTTGCTGCTCTGTATAATGCCTACGCCCAGCCAGATGTACGATGATTTCAGGTCTCAGGCCACACATTATTCCCAAGGATCATTCTCATAAAGAGTATTTTCACTAGAGCGATGCCGATGTTATCAGTAGGAGATCTCATCCAAGAATAACCGGGCTGCTTTCCCCATGAAACCGCTACTCACACCGTCGATAAAGCGAGCAATAAGGAGGACAGTATCATTCAGTACAGCGGGTTGTAAGGGTGCGCCAACATTGAGAAACAATATTCCGGTAAGAGATTATATTGTATAACCGAAATTATCAGATGTCTAGGACGTGATGAGAGCTCCAACGAAGGTTCTAATCCAGTAGATGGCTCTGATGAGACCTAGCTATGCGTTCATTGGACGGTTGATGGATGTTTGCCAGACATTCAACGATTGTATAGAAAACAGTCATAACCATTAGTCGATGCTAGATCGTCAGTAGTTAGCATTTTCATCTCCGTCTACATCTACCAATCGCAGAGATGTTGACATAGCTTTACAGAGACAGACACATAAGCTGGCCTTCCTTCGATGCCGTGCCTCCCGAAGGGAAATATCAAGAACTTGATACTATCCGCATCTCCAGGTCGAGGGTGAGATCCTTTATTTATCGATCCAAGCTTAGCATTACGTTGAAAAGAGGAAAGGGGGATTTTTGGCTCATCTCATCCCAGCGCAGATGAACGATAAGGCGCTGTTCGCCTTGAGCACTCACATTTATATGGATGACGCATAATTCGGATTTAGGAACGGTCCTGTCCCTTAACAGACCCATCCATTATCTTCCTAGTAACATTTTTTCATCGAATTCTCGCATTAAGGATAATAGGAACATTGCTCGTCGTGTAGGCTGTCGCTGACGAATGCCCAGCGGAAACAGTACAGGGAAGGCGGAGTATCTGTTGGGGGATGAGAATGGTTTTATGACTGGCGTAAGCTTATGGTATTATTGGGGGGGTTGGCTGTCTTCGTAGATCAAATTAAACTGACATTTTGCCCTTAGTATATAATTTCAGGCGGCGTTATTGGGATATGCTTCTGAATGAAAATAGGAAGATGTTGTCGCTGGAATGTGTCATATTCTCAGATAGTCACATTTGCTACTTGAGTCTTTGCATTGATGTCATTCCTGACACTTTAGGTATAAGAAGAGCAAACCTTTTCCTTGTACTTCTTTTCATCGATCGATAACCCTCCCGCATGTTTGAATTCTAAGGAATCAGGGAAAATGATTTCCATTATACCTATGAACGTTTGGTACTTGACACAGCTTTGTTACGCTTTCTCCACGGGGTTCAATAAAGCAACTAAAAGATAATTTGGACATCTGTGATGACAGCACCAGCTGCGAGAATGGCTAGCAAGTACACATAAACATCACACACATCATAATAAATGAAACCCTCTCCTAATAAGGGTATAACGATTCATTAACCATCGAGGGCAGATGTTGCCAGCTTATCCGCCTCCTGGTTGTATTCTCTCGGAACATGCCAGAACTTAACAATGACCTGCTCATCTTCGAGAGCCTTCACATACCGCTCAATCGAACGAAAATGCTCTTGATTGGCAACAGGCAAGCCCTTTGCAGTAGTCCAACCATTGGCCTTCCATTTGAAGATCCATTCGGTTATTCCGCGTACCAAATACTCCGAGTCTGACTTGATCACCACGGTGTGAAGTGTTCCTTCTTCATCTCCTGCCGTTTCGGTAAGCTTGTCCCAGTACTTTTGCAAGACGTGCGCAGCAAGCAGAGCTCTCTGACAGGCTGCGAGCTCGGCAACCTGGCTTGTCTGTTTGAGTTCTGGCGAAAGAGTGACACCGTCATTCAATGGATGGTCATGGCCGTAATAAACCCCAGTTGACGCCCGGGCTCCGTCCTTGCCATTATTGCGACACGCACCGTCAATTGCAATCACGATACAGTCAAGATGACGGATATGGCAATTGCAATGGGGGCACTTTTTTTCCGAGCCTGGGCATGCGAGAAAGACGAGGTTGCCTACTGGAACCTCGATGTCGCTTAAAGTGAAGTGATCTGGGTATCGTTCGTGCGGGAGGAATCGACGAGTCGGAGCGGATACTGCCTGGGGTGAGGTCGGGAAAGATGAGTTGGAGGAAACATCTGTTTCACGACTAGACGGAGAGCTGCGACAATCACTGTGCTTTTCCTCGGTGTGGGAGCTCTCTGGAGTACTCTGGTTGAACCGGTCAGTTATACTGCTAGCAGGTTACATATAAGGAGGCCGCTCTGAGGAGTGCTAAGTAATACCGACCGGTTCAATTGGGACGCTTGTGCTTACCTGGCGAGACTTGGGCTTTCTCTTCTTCTGGTATCGTCTCTGCATCTTTCAAAGTGAGCTATATGAAGCTATTTTCTCTGACTGGGAATATTCTTGGAATGTTTGTGAGAAAGGAAGCGAGAATGCTCCTGATCTGTGGGGTAAAACGGTGGAGGGTCCCCAGTCAGCAGCATGAAGAAGAGTTGTCGACCATCAGTCATTCAATTCACTTGTTTATATCACGTGTCAACGACCACCCTCACACAGTCGATGATGTTAGCTCAATTGATTAGTAGTACTAGTAAGCCACCTTTATAGTTCTCAGCGCATTCTCCATTACTGGTGGTCCATCTGGGATGCTCCAGATCATGGGTAGGCAAGATCCGGAGTCAGCTTCGAGGCATCGGACTCTTCCAAGTATTCAATCATTTTGTTCTGCTATTCCGTCACTCGCCTTGATAAAGAGAGTACGTACGCGTGAATTGTTGAGCATCGGTTTAGGGAGGAAGGTCAAAAGCTGCCTTGATTGGACGCCAGAAAAGGGGAAATATTGCTACTGCCAACAGATTACGCCAATATATCGACGTTTAAGTCTCCATTATAGTCAAACATTGAGGCTTATGGCGTATATGATGCTCGATTTTAGCATATGCGGGCTTTTCCGATTAGCGTCAACTGCGGCAATCGGGTGTCGTGGAGCTTCGGCTTCATCCTTTCACACAACGACGATCAGGGGCCCCGTATTTCCCCGGATATCCTACCTTTAACAAAGCATGCGAACTGTGAGACGGGATGATTTCTATACTGTCGATCAAGTTGGGATGACAAAGTGATAATTAGGAAGCCGCATGGAAAGTGGATCGGTCCAAACGCGGAAAGTATCTCGCTGGCATGTTTGATCTAAACGCGAAACCAGGACCCTGATCATCATGGACATCATCAATCTAACATGTTAATCCTAGTATGTGGAACTCGTCATGGCTCATCGGCCCTTCCCACGTTTAATTGATGTATAATTTCGATAATCACTTGGTCAAAGGAGCCGCTGTATAACCCCAGGCTCGCGAGGTGACTTTATCGTCCGGGCGATCCAACGATCGGGTTCTCCCTTCTGATGAGAATCTCCTCGCGTTTTATAAGTTGGGCAGCATTTGAATAAGAAGCCACCTGCCTTCCATGGAGATTCGCTCAGATATGTGCATTATCATCTAGATTCCGCTTGGTGGAGAATCGAGGTCAATGTGATTCCTAAAACTCGTCGTCAGCACGAAGGATAGATCAGCTCCTAAGACACCCTGCGATTATATGGCGTGAAGGCAAGGGAATATAGCGCCATACTGTACGATCCAAGAAAGTCCTACATCGAGATCCTCCTGCATAAACACACCAAGGGTAACGAGCTTTCCCCAAAACTCGCTTGTGAAGATTGTCTGGTTTCGCTGGCAATTATACCTTGAGATGGGATGAAACTTCCGTATTCTCGGTTCCGAGGGGTGCTATTGTATGTTGAGAATGGGCACTGGTTTATCAGAACATTGCTAGCGCTTCAAAAGAATACCCTTTTGTTCCACTAGTGGGCAAAATTTCTGCCCTCATACGATGAACTTGACGCCGAAGAAAGATGATCAGATATAGATCTCCTACATCTGAAGCAACGATGCCGGTGTCCATCATGACACCAAAAGAGGAAGACAAGTGATTATTGGGCTGTCAACATAACTCCAACGTCTGACTATCCCAGCAACAGACTCAGACATATCAGGGAGCCGAAGTTTGAGTGAGAGGCAGAGAGACGATATTAAACTTCATCGGGTCCCAATCCGGACAAGTTCGACGATATGCGCAAACAGAGTAAGACAACGACAGGATAACAGAATTTAATTATCGCAATGGTGCTTCTAGGGGCGTTCAAAAGAGGGCGACACGACCTATATCATGAGATCCGTCGAGAATGATTTCCCCCGGCACGTTGCCCCGGAGAGATAAGCTTTGATTACTAGCCTTATGAGCCACGTCAGCCTGAACCGGGGTACCTGGTTTAATTTGCTCTAGCTCCAAGGCTTATGTTCCTTTGATAAGGCCACCCTAAGACATGTTAGGTTACAGGCGCGAAAGGGTTATCGCCATCGGTCCCTTAGGACTAGTAGCCTCACCGGGGTTCCAAATGCGCTACCATGATTGTACTTAAAGAGCCGCCCCCAGTCTTGATGGCCTTAAATCGCTCAGTGTTCAAATTCTACTTTTTTTCCATTGCAATTCTTCCACTGGGGACCAGCACCAGCGAGCCACGAGTGGATAAATGGGTCATCCGGAAGCGACCGAGACCCCCGGTCAGTGCATTACTAATGCAAATGAGGGGTTTCTCCAACTCGATGAGAAGGAAGATCCCAGACAATGGCCAAAAACCAGAAAGTGTAAGATTTGCTCGTATCAGGCCTCTGATGATAGGAGAGTGAAATTAATCAACATCCAACGATGATCTAGGGGTGTGTACCGTGATTGTGGCGGTGATGACGGGAGTCATTGCTTTCTGCTCGAGTATCTACACCGCTGGAACCAGCCTCATCACTGCCACTTATGGCTGTTCACGCACCGTCGCCACTCTTGGGGTGACGACATTCCTGTTGGGATTTGCATCAGGGCCTCTCATCTTCGCTCCTCTCTCTGAAGTCTAGTCAGTCTGTCGAATCCCTCTTTCCTGTGATTGCTGGCTCATGCGTTTAGGGTTGTTATAGTGGCCGCAACTACATTTTCCGGCTTACTCTAGGACTGTTTGTTCTCTTCCAGATCGGCTGCGCGTTGGCACCAAACATAGCATCCCTCATTATCTTCCGGTTCTTGACCGGCTTTTTTGGTTCTCCGTCCGTCACAAACTCGGGTGGTTCTATCACGGACCTCTGGCCGCAAAGCGAACGGTCCGTGCCTCTGGCTTTGTTTTCCGCCGGTAGCTTCCTTGGACCCGTCTTCGCGCCGGTTGCGGGCGGGTTTATTTCCGAGTACCTCTCCTGGAGATGGAACTTCTGGGTGGTTCTCATCGTTAGTGGCGTAGTGTATGCGGCATGTGTGCTCTTCTTGCCAGAAACATATGCGCCTAAGCTTCTACGAGATAAGGCTCGTCGTCAGGGCATCGTCCAGGACGGCCCCTCTCTCAACTCACAGCTCATGACCTCTCTCACCCGCCCTTGGCTGATGCTCTTCGCGGAGCCCATTCTCTTTCTACTGTCCCTCTATATGGCTTTCATTTACGGAATTCTATACCTGGACTTTACGGCGTATCCGATCGTATATGAACAGTCCCGTGGTTGGACTGCCGGTATTTCTGGTCTCTCATTCCTAGGCATGGGAACAGGCATGGCGATAGCGACAATTGCCTCGCCGTACGTGAACAAGATTCATGCGACATATGTCACCAAACTTGGCCCGGAACCAGAAGCCCGACTACCCCACATTATTGTCTTGTCCTGGCTGATCCCCGCCAGCTTATTCTGGTTTGGTTGGACCGCGATGCCTCCGACGCACTGGATTGTGGGCATTATATCAGGTGCACCTTTCGGCTTCAGTCTGATATTACTCTTTCTCGCCATCACCTCCTATCTCACTGACTGCTACGGGCCATATGGCGCAAGTGCGCTTGCAGCCAATGCAGTGTTCCGTTCTATCTTCGGCGCAGTATTCCCACTGTTCGGTACGTATCTATATGACGGCTTGGGGGTACCCTGGGGTTCTAGCTTATTGGGGTTCTTTGCCTTGGCGTTCGCTCCCCTGCCGTGGGTGTTTTATCATTTTGGGCCGAGGATACGGATGCGAAGCAAGTATCATATGATGATGAAATCTGAAGGCTTTTAGAAACCGGTCTCAACCTGACTCTGGGTGGATAATTATGATTAAGTTTGTCTGACTAACCAAGGAAAGAGTAGATAAGAAGGATACAGAAAGACAAAACAATTCGTCTCGAAACTTGTCTCTCAATGCCTTCCACATCAAGACACAATTCTATTTACCTGCATCTCATTGCCTGGATACGGAGCTGGATCCTCGTTAAGTAATCGAGGATATGTATTTGTATGCCCCGAACCCTCTGTGCTGGAATTGCGGATATGTTATCTGTGCCGTTGAAAGTCCCATTGAATGGAACTCCTTGGATCATCTTGAACTCTAGTGACATCTTGACTCAACGCCTTGATTATTATGCATTGTTGGTCAAGCAAGCCAATATATTCATGCTCGTGTTTACATGCGCCTGATATTTTCATGATTTTGATGCATGACCAACTTATATTGCATCTGCAGACATGTTCAGGTCCACCATATCGACGATCGACTCCATCCTTCGTCTATCAGGAGCAAGGATCTTCTCCCCTGCATCAGCACTGTTCCAGACATCTGGTCCATAATAAATACTATGCAGCTCCTCGAAGACCAGGTGCAGGTTGCAGGTAACGAATTCCGGAAATTCTGAGTGACCTCTGCCAATAATCGAACTCGACACTGCAACTCCCACCTGCTGGATCCATAAGTACCGGTGCGTCGCCGGAGCTACTATCGGGCCTACTATCTCGCTAAACAGTTCCCTGGCTCTGGATGTGAGGTTCTCCCGCGTCGTTTCCTCGGCATTTTCTGTAAAGCGTTTGTAAAGGTAGAACAGAAGGTGAGCGTGACTGAGGACTGGCGGGCCCGATTTTTGTAGGTCTGGCGTCAATTCCTTACAGGCCATTTTGGCCCGGAATGTAAGCCCTTCGGCGGATGGGAGCTCCGGTATTGCTTCCGATATCCTTCTAGTTTCTTTACTAGGAAGAGCTGCTATGATGTTCGGCAGCGGCTTGAGATCAGGCATCACAAATTGCGATCGCGCAGCGACACTATTCCACACTCTGTTCGAGTAGTGCTCATTCCAGCCAGTCGGTTTGAGATGGAAAGTGTCCTGGAATGCCTCGTACGACATCTCTGGAGTATCAATCGACCGCTTCTCATCATCCAGCGACCGCAACGCAGCATTGACTATCTGAATCCAGAAATACGCCTGTGTCTCCGAGTAGGTCTCAACGGTCAAATCACTCGTCCTCGCC